TGGGGTCTCCTCTTTGGTGCCCCCTTGGTGATGATTTTTTGCCCAAAAGGCAGCGAATAGGCGATCCAGCCTTTCTTCAAGGGGCGGCAGTGGGTTACACGTGGTGACTGCCATGGTATTCAGTGCTGTGCCGGCAGTGTGGGACAGGCACTGTTGTCGTTTTGCGCTTTGTCACAGGCTTTAGTTACCGGGATAACCCTCAACGGCAGGGGGGGGAGAGAGTGTACCGGGGAGACCTCCAGGTTAGTGGGCTGCAGTCAGCGTAGGGATCGGCCACCTCCCCCACTGCAGCTGAGTAGGCCTCTTGTAGGCCTCAAGTCTATCCCCAGGTAGGAGCCTCTGATTTCGGTCGGGGTGCTTGGCGCTTGTACCCGCAGTCTTGGGCTCCCTTCCCCAGGTCGCTTAGCTGTCGATTTGGGAGGATTGTGCCCAGATTTTGGCTGGATTTGAGCGTTTTTATATGGAGCTCTTTGAATGTGCGACCGCTCAGTATGGCTGCCAGGCTCCGCCCCGACAGTTGCCATTCTAATGATATAATCAATACTATTTCCTCCACCTGTTAGTGGTTTTAATGTTGTGGCTGATCAGTGTATATATACACTCTAATACACACACAAACCTATATATATATATATATATATATATATATATATATATATATATATATATATATATACATATACACACACACAGAAACACACACTATTAAACACACATACATACCCACTGCTGTACAGAGGTACACGATGACACACACAATCACAGTGTGTGTCTGGCAGTGTGTATTGGTACCTGTGTGTGCCTGGCATTGTTAAGAACAGGGGTAGGCAGATGTTGTGGACTACGTCTCCCATAATGCTCCTGCAGCCATCATGCTGGCAAAGCATCAGGGGAGATGTAGTGTCAAAGGTTGAATACCCCTGATGCAGTGTGTATGAGCCTGAGAGTGTGAGTATGGAATTGATTATCCTTGTGCAACTGTGAGTGCATATCTGTGTATATATGTATCCGTAACTGGAATGCATAATTATGTTTGTGCATGTCCGTGTATCTCTGGAAAGTATATGTGTTTGAGGGGGAGCTGCTTGCAGTGTGTTGTGTGTATAGGTTGCTGCTTGTAGTCATGATGTGTATGTGAAAATATACTGAATATTTTGAGGTTGATTCACTAGAGTGGCTTTAGTGTATATGCCTGAAAATGTTTTATATAGTTTGAAAAGATATACCTTACTGTCTATTTAAAAGTCACTGTGAATAAAAGTTGAGCCCTATGCTTTTACAGCATAGCTATGCCAAAAACGCTGTTTACTAACTGTCATAATTTTACTGTAATGCCAATTAGTAGAGTTCTCCAAATAGAGCACCAGCGCTCGGAAGGAAACCACAGAAACATGGAATAGCTAATAGTGTTGACATTTAGGCCAGACTTCACTCCCTGAAGACCACACAGAAGACCACAGAAAAATCTGTCGATTTTCAAACACTATGGGACCCAAGGTGCAGGGCCGGCGCAACCGTTATGCGAACTAGGCATTCGCCTAGGGTGCTGGCCTGCTGGGGGCGCCCATTGGGATGTTTCCTGGTGGGCTGCCCCTCTCTGGGGCCACATCATTGAGGCAAGAGGCTCTTCAGCCGCCCCCAGCGCCGGGCCGATCTTCAAGGTGCCCAAAGGTGGGGGCGCCGAAAGGAGCCCTGTCACAGGCCGGCCAGTTAAGGCGGAGCAGGCACCTGCTTACCTTGATGGCAGGTGCCTGCTCTGCCAACAAATGCCAGCGACTGGAGGAGAGGGGGAAGGAGAAGCAAGGCGGCAAGGGGGGCTGTTCTTGCAACCTCTCACTCTTCCCACGTGCGCCCTCTGTGATGCCGGGAGCCGGAATATGACGTCATTCCGGCCCCAGAATACTAAACAGCATGCTGGAGGAGTGAGGAGCTGCCCCAAACTGGACCCCAGGGAGATAGAGAGGCTACCTTTTAATTCACCCTGAATTCTCACTTTAGTGAATAATCCTGTATAATTTTAATATCAGTCACATAATTCAAAACTACCACACAGGTGTATTTTTTTTTGCTGAATGTTTTAGGGTATTTATGTAAGATCATTCTGACACTTTTCATTGAGCCTACAAGCAACCTCTCCCAGATCTAAAGGTTATTTTTAATACTTTGTATTTTTCCTACACGTTTAATTCTCATGGGGAATTTCATTGACCGTGTGTGTCCTGCTACTTTAAAGACCTCATATCTGAATGCTGCTAATGCTGTTGAGAAAAGCAATGCACCCTCATGTGAACGTTTGCAATAGGGTCAAATTTCAGATATGCCAGTTTTAGCATTCAAACTTTCAGTTTTCATTTACTAGGTCCATGTCACTTTTGCACCTGTACATTTCCACTAGCAAGGCATCCCATGTGTGCAAGAAGACACTATGAGCTATTTAATATGGGGGATTCTTGAGACTTTTCACTTGGCATTTTTCATCACTAATTCCTGAATATTTTCAGTAAATTACATTTTTTTCACATACATACCCTGTACATCACCATGTCTCATGCTTTCGTTCTCTCTACGTTTACTCTTTTCACTCCACTTTGTAACACTAGATTTAATAACTCATAAGTAACATGAGCGTTATGAGAAATGCACATTTTTCAATTTCCTCATGTATATGCTTAAATGCATTTGTGAATAAGTATACATTGGTGAAACAATACAAAACTTATAAAGCTTTTGTAACATTGCTTAACAAAAGGCACTGCTATGGATCAAGAAATTAAAAAGCTTCAATCTTAAACTTATGAACAGGGCGTGTAATCTATGCCCTTTCTTAGAAAGACTCTAAATTCTTCGTAGAATTGGATATCTGGAACAACAGTTTGCCTTATCATTGTGACTGTGCCGGTCATCCTTGGGAGGTCGGGGGAGAATACATTCTTAGTGATAAAAATTTAATAACAATGAAAAGCAATAAGTATTTATTTGGAGAATTGTCTCACTTTCAGCATTGAGAATATCACAATAACTGCTCCTTTCAAAGTTAGCATATCTATTCATGTTATTTTTTATTTTTTTTTAAATATATTGGGTTTATGCAAATGAGCACAGAAGGGCATTACGTGTCAGACTTTACCCTGCATTTGTTCAATGCGTTGTTGGTCTAGGGTCCACAGACACAGAAATACTGGGCATGTGCCAGGATTAGTCAGAGGACCCTCAGCAGAGGACCAGAGGACCAGAGGACCCTCAGCAAGATGAGAGGCAGCAATCTTAAAAAGGCAAAGAATGAAAAAGACAAAATAGACATATTACTAAACCTTACTTAACGGGCTTAAAAAAAACACAAAAAATTAAAATAAAAATAAAAACTATGTACAGGACAAAAAAATAATGGCTGGTACAGGAACAGCAAACATAGTTATGTAAGTCAAGGTCAGGATTATGGAACAGGTCAATGACCGGGTCTGGTGTACAAATAGGGTATACAAATAGGGTAGTCTTACAAGCCAGGTCTGATTCACAAATAGGAGATCAAGAATAGTCAAAGGATAAGCCGTATTAAAAAGAGGGATCAGTACAGAACAAACACAATAAAGAGTTCAGAAACCATGCAAGGGCCCAGAGCAGTCAGAGTGCCCTCGTTGTATAGGGAGGTCCTGATCTTATCAGCACAGAAAGGTAGTACCAGTGTTACCCATATATGCACTACACAAAAAATTGGATTCAGGAAGATCAGAAGTAGCCAGTAAACTTTTCTGGAAAACAATAAGCAGTGTGCAGTTGCAGAAAGTGGGAAACAAGGGTCCAAGTATCAGCACTTCAGGGAGTCATACTATGTATATGGAGGAAGCAAACTTTAGGTAAGTATAATTGCTAGTAATGTATAGATTATACATTATGGGTAACCTCCATTATTTAAACCTTTCCTCCTCTCATAATTGTATTCAATGTTGTTTTTAAGGTTTTGTTAGCTAATCTCTAAGATAATTGTCCCTAATGTTACAGACTATTGATTTATTCTAAACTAGAAAATACCAATTGCAGTTTGTAATTCCCAACTATTTCCTGGCACCTTTTCGTATGGAAATCGAACATGGGTACTCTCCAATAATTTGTAGGTCTTAACCCCTTCAGGACGGAGTCAATAGTACACGTTCTGATCAAAACAAAAGGTAAACAAAAACTGGAATTTGCGCTATATGTCTGTTCAACCTTAATTCAGGGCTGTCCCATTAAATGCACCCACACTTATTATATATAATTTTGTTCAGGAGAAACAGGGCTTTAATTTATCATTAACTATTCATATATGGAACATCATTTATTATGAATAAAATTTAAAAGAATGTGAGAAAATAAGATATATTTTTTTTTTCCGTCTGACATTTTAGCTGTTAATGTTATAATACTGTTAGGTTTTACTGCAAAAAAATGCACATATTTGTAATCAGCGATGTCTCACGATTACAACAGTATCCCCCATTAACAGATTTTATGGTATTTTGGAAAGTTACAGGGTCAAATGTAGAACATTACATTTTCAAATTGAAATTTGCCAGATTAGTAATGTTACCTTTGAGATGGCGTGGTAGCCCAGGAATGAGAATTACCCCCATAATGGCATACCATTTGAAAAAGTAGACAACCCAAGGTATTGAAAGTGGGGTATGTTTAGTCTTTTTAGTAGCCACTTAGTCACAAACACTGGCCAAAGTTAGCGTTCATATTTGTTTTTGTGTGAAAAAAGCAAAAAACTAATATTTGGCTAGTGTTTGTGACTAAGTGACTACTAAGAAAGACTGGACATACCCCACTTGCAATACCTTGGGTTGTCTACTTTTGCAAATGGTATGCCATCATGGGGGTAATGCTCATTCCTGGGCTCCCATACGCTCTCAAAGGCAACATAACCAATCTGGCAAATTTCAATGTCAAAAAAATGAAATGCAAGCCTTATATTTGACTCTCTAACTTTCCAAAACAACATAAAACCTGTACATGGGGGTACTGTTATTCTCGGGAGACTTCACTAAACACAAATATTAGTGTTTTAAAACAGTAAAACATATTACAACAATAATATAGTCCATAATAGTGCCGTTCGTTTGTAAAAATATCATCGTTGTAATACAATTTATCATTTTGAAACACTAATATTTGAGTTCAGTGAAGTCTCCCGAGTACAATAGTACCCCCTATGTACAGGTTTTATGGTGTCTTGTAGAGTTAAAGGGTCAAATATATTGCTTGCAAATTAAATTCTCTGCACTTTCTCCCTGTGTTGTCAGGCATGTCAATCAAATTTTAATTAATCAAATCACATAATTATGTTAAAAGATTAGTTAAATATACACATAGAATTTTAATATATATGCATTTATAGGTATTTAAATTCTACGTGTATACTAATGTAATCTTTTATGTAATTATATGTATTTATCTATATATATATTTGCGGTTATTTGTATTTTATATATAGATTGTCATTCTAAGTGTATTTTGTTACATATATATATATATATATATATATATATATATTAATCACAAAATACAGTTAGAATGAAATTACATATGAATATATAATTTATATTACATTTTTTTCAATATTTTATTTATTTATTTTATTGATTTATTATTGTAATTATACGTGTGTATATATATATGTAACGTCATTCTAAGTGTATTTTAATACGAATATATGTACTTATATTAATATTAAAATACACTTTGTATGACGTTACACAGTGGTGTATCCTGGTTTTGTGCTGCCCTAGGCTTCTAAATACACACACACACACACACACAGTCAGACACACACACACACACAGTCAGACACACACACAATCACTCACATTAACACCTTTTTTTTTTTTTTTTTTAAACCCCCACCCGCCTCCTTACCTTTGGGAATGCTGGGGGGGGAGGGGTTCCTCTCTCTCCCTGGGGGTCCAGTGGCTGCTGGGCGGGCGGCTGGTGAGGGAGCTCTCTCTGAGCTGTCTGCTCAGCTCGCTCGCGCGTCTCAGAGTGAGGCTGGGAGCCGGACTATGACGTCATCAACCCGGCTCCCAGCCTCACTCTGCGGCGCGCGAGGGAGCTGAGCAGACCGCTCAGAGGAAGAGCTCCATCGCCAGCCGCCCGCCCAGTGCCCAGCATGTCAGTTAGCCGCAAAGCTAACTAGGCATTTGCCCTGGGCATTTGGGAGCAGCGTTATTTGCCGCTCCCTGGAAAATGACGCCCAAGGCAAATGCCTTGTTTGCCTCGCGGCTAATACGTCCCTGACGTTACATATTGTGATAAAGTGAAGGCAGATAGGCCTTTTAACCCCAGGGGAAGTACGTGTAGCTTGTGTGTTGCACAACCCAAAGCTTTGTTTAGTTATGGGCCCCTGGGGTGGAGCATTTGGAGAGAAGGGTGGGCCAATGCTCCACTCCACAGTTTAGTGGTTTTCTGGGGAGACATAGATCCAGGCCAGGGTTTTTTGGATCGTCTCCAACCCACTGCTCAGCTGCAGTTAATGAGCTGTTGCAGTGGGAATAAACCCCTCCCGGCTAGGCAGGAAAAGGAGAGGGATTGCTGGCTTCCTCCCAGGAAGCAGGTAGGAGAGAGAGGCTGTTCTCTCCAGATAGAGTCAAGGAGACTAGGCACTTGGAGTGCAGAAAGGAAGCAGTCAGGGCAAGGCTGGCTTGGAGCACTGGGAGTCAGGGCAAGGCTGGCTTGGAGCACTGGGAGTGCAGAAAGGAAGCAGTCAGGGCAAGGCTGGCTTGGAGGACTGGGAGTGCAGAAAGGAAAGCAGCAGGGCAAGGCTGGCTTGGAGCACTGGGAGTGCAGAAAGGAAAGCAGTCAAGGCAAGGCTGGCTTGGAGCACTGGGAGTGGAGAAAGGAAAGCAACAGGCTAGCTAGCAGAGTGTTGCTATCTAGTAAGGTTGGTGCCATATGTTTTTGTTAGTTTAACCCTGATAGAGAGGGATATACAAAGTGAGTTAGTGCTCAGACGAGCTAGGTTTTTTTGTTTATAGGGTTTTCTGTTACAGTTATGTTTTTCATTTACTGCTGTATCCTGTGTGGATTTTCAAATAAAGTGCATGGAGTATATGCAATTACAAGGACTGTGCATGTTTTTGCCCTAGAGGACCGTGCTACCTGGTGACAAGGATCACAATATGGTGGAGAATGCGGGCACTGTATCACATTGAGGGTCTGTGGGTGTGCCAGTCATTTGGTAGTCTTCTTGAGGACTTTTATTTTTGCAGACCTGTTACGCAAACAAGTAGCACTGTACCTTTAAGACTGTTACCTGCTTGGTGCTATAATGGAGGACCTGCTGAGAGCTGTGGTACAGGCAACGGCTAAACAACAAGGCACAAACAGTTTCCTGGCTGCACAGGTTAAGAACCTGAGGGACGCTCAGCAGGAGCATAGAGCTGCCCTTACTGAGGTTTTGCAGATTGCCCCCTGCAGGGAGCGTGGGGACAAGGGACCCTGTAACCAAGCTACTGACATCCTGCATGGGATGACAGAGGCAGTAGAAGAAGTCTTCAGCAAGCTGAAAAGCATGGAGGCAGCAAAGCGTGCTGTTGAGAAACACGCAGGAGAGAAAGAACAGGAATTAAAAGGCAAGAAGGATGAAATTGAGCCTGAAAGAAGTGATAAAATGGAAGAGGGTGAAAAGCCAGCTGGATCCTCAAAGGAACAAAAAGAAAAAAAGTTAGTAAAGAGTCCAGCAAAGCTAAAGGAAAAAGCGGAATTGCCAAGAGGCAGTGATGGCGACACTGATGACATGCGCCAAAGTAAGAAAGGTCAGAAGAATCAGAAAGGAGAAAAAAAGACTGTGGCTGAGGCCAGCAGTGTCAAGCCGGTTTGTGTAATAAAAAGTGAAGCAGAAGCCGCTGATGTTCACCCAAGTGAACAAGTTAAAGTCATGAAAAGCAGACTGACTTGGGGAGTCAGAGAAGACAACAGCAAAGGAGCTGAGCAAAATGAAGAGAAGCAAAGCACTCCAGTTGAGTATAACAATGTGGTGCGCTGTTTAGTAGCAGAGACACCTGGTATTGTTACAAAGAATTTGAATGATTGTCCGGGAGCCGTAGAACTAGATCTGCTGGCAAAGACTACTGCTACAAAGCCTGGGCGCACTGACTACCGGGAACAGCTGCCAGATTCTGGGAACACAGTCATGGAATTAAAGGCGGGACTCGGAATGCCTGACCGGCTGTTTGATACCAGGGCTGTAATGACCCAGCGAGAGGCCATGACTGCGTCTCTGGACAACCCCATAGGGAGCAAGGCAGGTTCCCAGGGATTCGCAGAACAGATGGAGGATGTTGTGGAGCCCTTCGCGGAGGGACTTGTTCCAGTGAAGGATGAGCTGGTGACAGAACCAGGTCTTGAAGAGGTTGAGCACCTAGAAAATTCAGCTCATGAAGGAATTGGACGTATAGCTACACGCCAAGCCTTTGCAAAGTTTGCTTTTGAAAGTTACTCTAACGTTGAGAGATTATCAAATCAGAAGCTGCTATGGATGTGGAAGCAGATGATGATTCAGAGGAACTTGGCTACTAAGGAGCCACACAGTACTGATCCTCAGCCTAGATCCGCTAGCAACCAGATAAGTGGGGAAACTGGAAAGCAAGGACAAAGTCTGGGACAATATACCTATGATGGTAGAACGTACCTAAAAGTCCTATTTTGGCTACGAGACCAGACTGAGAAAAACTGCTTCAACTGCCGCATGCATGGACATATTACATATAGCTGTCCTGAGAGTGAAGAGACAATACAATGTGACATAGTAATAAGGGCTCTGTATAGGATTGTATTGACTTGCTTAAAGATGGGTGTGGTGACTGGTGGTGGTGTTACAGCACAGCTAAAAGTGGTGATGGTGGTAGGGAAGAGTGCACAAGCACTGACAGATTCAGGGAGTGAGGTTACTCTGATGAAAAGCGTTCTGTTCCAGCCAGAGTATGCAGCTGCCTACCTTGATGTGGTGTTTAACAGGGTGGACTGGGTAGATCACCTGATGAAGGTCCGGTTAGTTGTGAATAATGTAAAGGCTGCCGGTTTGACCGCTAACACTGCTAACTATTTGGGTTATCCTATTGGGTGGGGGCTCCTTAAACTACAAGGAAGCAAGGTAGCCACTATCTACAATAGGCCACTTCCTGTAACTGAGAAGCTAGTCAGGGCTGGTAGAGCCCTAGGTGTTATGAATGTTCACGGTTTGTGTTCTAAGGCCGCTCGACCCGATGGGTCTGAGCTGGGGAGGAGGATATGTGATAAAGTGAAGGCAGATAGGCCTTTTAACCCCAGGGGAAGTACGTGTAGCTTGTGTGTTGCACAACCCAAAGCTTTGTTTAGTTATGGGCCCCTGGGGTGGAGCATTTGGAGAGAAGGGTGGGCCAATGCTCCACTCCACAGTTTAGTGGTTTTCTGGGGAGACATAGATCCAGGCCAGGGTTTTTTGGACCGTCTCCAACCCACTGCTCAGCTGCAGTTAATGAGCTGTTGCAGTGGGAATAAACCCCTCCCGGCTAGGCAGGAAAAGGAGAGGGATTGCTGGCTTCCTCCCAGGAAGCAGGTAGGAGAGAGAGGCTGTTCTCTCCAGATAGAGTCAAGGAGACTAGGCACTTGGAGTGCAGAAAGGAAGCAGTCAGGGCAAGGAGCACTCAGGGCAAGGCTGGCTTGGAGCACTGGGAGTGCAGAAAGGAAGCAGTCAGGGCAAGGCTGGCTTGGAGCACTGGGAGTCAGGGCAAGGCTGGCTTGGAGCACTGGGAGTGCAGAAAGGAAGCAGTCAGGGCAAGGCTGGCTTGGAGCACTGGGAGTGCAGAAAGGAAGCAGTCAGGGCAAGGCTGGCTTGGAGGACTGGGAGTGCAGAAAGGAAAGCAGTCAGGGCAAGGCTGGCTTGGAGCACTGGGAGTGCAGAAAGGAAAGCAGTCAAGGCAAGGCTGGCTTGGAGCACTGGGAGTGGAGAAAGGAAAGCAACAGGCTAGCTAGCAGAGTGTTGCTATCTAGTAAGGTTGGTGCCATATGTTTTTGTTAGTTTAACCCTGATAGAGAGGGATATACAAAGTGAGTTAGTGCTCAGACGAGCTAGGTTTTTTGTTTATAGGGTTTTCTGTTACAGTTATGTTTTTCATTTACTGCTGTATCCTGTGTGGATTTTCAAATAAAGTGCATGGAGTATATGCAAT